CGGGCCGGAGGGCTGGGCGCGCCGAGCCGGCGAGGAGGCGGCAGCTCCCTGCGCTGCGCACAGCTTTGTTGAACTAGCTGTTGCGGCAGACCTGCCGGGGGTATCCCAGCGTGGACCCCGGAACGGTGGTCTGGGGGCTGTCGGATAAACAGTCTCGCACTGTGTGTGTTCTTTGCGTGCGACCCAGTTTGAACATGCCTTCTTAGTTGGAGTCTCCTCCAGACAGGCCCATTTCTCCCTCCAAAACCACTACTTGTAGATTCACTTTATTTTATATCATAAAGAAGAGATGTCTATCACCCACCCTGTCCCTATTTCTAAGCTGCTGGCCGATCCTATTCCCTCGTAGCAAAGTGAATTTTAAAACTGCATCCGAAGTAAAGCCTGTTGATCGCACATGGCTTGTCGAAATTTGGATCGCTGGTCTCGTGGAACTGTGTTGTCAGCCAATCTGTGCAGTGGTCGCAGTTCTGCTTAATTGCATTGCAATGAGAAGATTCGGTGCGCATTCCTGGCTGTGGAGATCTCTGCGGGTTCCAAAGCTGGCACGGACTGGGAGTGCTGCATAGGTAGGAAAAGGGTGTGGCAAGAACTCGGAGAGATTCGAGATGGAAGGAAACCCACTGAAATAAGAAGAAATCACCTGCGCTATACTAGAAGTAGCAACAAAATTTCAGAAACTGCAAAACAGCTGGATGTGTTTCTTTCTTTTGCCTGCACGGACTGGCAGTCTTGAGTTCCTGAAAACAACCTTGGAGGAAACTCTCCCTCCTGGAGGAGACCTTCCTTACCCAGTTTACTGGGTGGATTTTCTTTATTAATTTTCAATTCTTTGTTTTCTGGGATGATGATAATCGTTAGTGATTGCTGGAACTGAGATTACCTCCAGAAAATCATTTTCTGAAACTTTTCTTTTAAATAGTTAACTTTGAGTTTCCAAAATAACAAAATATGCCCTCTGAAGATTTTAAGTTTTTTCATAATTACTTGGTTATCCGAAAAGCTTGTGCCTGAAGGTTGACTTGTAGTTTTACTTCCAAGTGGAGCAGCAGCCTGCTTCTTTTTCATATCCTGAAGAAAAGCCAATTCACAATTTTCAAATTTCCTAAGCATTCACTTTTTATAATGGCATCAGTATTAAATAACGAACTTTTGTTTCTACTTTGTTGTCATTTCTCTGCACACTAGGACAAACACTGGATTGAAAATTATCCTGCCTCGTGAAGTTGACAACATCGAATTTTGTAAACTCCAAAATTATGGAATTCAAGAGAATGGGTTTTAGCACCTGTTTTATGTTTGCCAACATTTAATGTAGCTGTTTGCTGATGTGAAAAGTCAAACCTAAACTTTTTCATCTTTGCTCGCTCTCCCAATTCGCTTTCTACCCCTGAACCTTCAGTTTATCTTGGCTCATATTTGAGACTTGGAAGGAATATCGGGTTCATCTAATCTTGTATAAATGTTGCCTGAACTCTGCTTCCTTTCATACTGCTTGAGACATTTTCCTTCTGGTACTGTCTTTCCTTATGAGTCAGCCACCTCTGAACACTGAGCCACGATTTAGCGCCCATCAGTTTACACAACCTGTGAAACAGTCCATGGTATTTCTCAAGTTCTAGACTACCTCACATATTGGTGAATTTGACTTGTGTTCGGGGCTCACTTATTTTTCCTATAAGCATTTGGTATTGTAACCTGTAAAACATTCTTCGGTATTTTTGAAAAAGTTCCAGTAGTAGCAGGCCTAATCCTAATACATAAAGCTAGCACATCTGTGTTGACCTGCCTTTGGGAGCGTTTCCTAGTTTTATGTTCCTTTTCATGCCTTTTTAAAATCTAGTTTTTCACAGCAGTCAAAAAATAACTTTCACGTATAGTAAAAAGTTCAGCCCTTACCCCCAGAAGCCATTCCTTAATACTATTTCATATTAGTTTTAATGTTCTCAAGGAGAAAGCCTGCTTATGAGTCTCGGGCCTGCCTTTTTACATTTGAAAGTATGTTGGTGATGACCAAGGACTGATGGCTGAATTATAAGACTAAATAAGGCCAGGGGGTGGTGGTGCACACCTTTAAACCCAGCAATTGGGAGGCAGAGCCAGGCGGATCACTGTGAGTTCGAGGCCAGACTGGACTACCAAGTGAGTTCCAGGAAAAGTGCAAAGCTACACAGAGAAACCCTGTCTCGAAAAACCAAAAAAAAAAAAAAAAAAAAAAGACTAAATAAGAGTGTAGTTGGAATTTGTGGGCGGAGAACATTGTTTCTCAGGAATTTTATGCCAAAATTTATCCGGCGTGAAAAGCCTGAAACTGCATTTAAAGCTATTCTATTTGGTATCAGCCTGTGAAAGCCCAAGTGACCTGTATGACTTCCTAGTAAACTCATCGTTTTGTGCTAGTTCGAAGACTGCCTTTGTTTTGTTTGAGACAGGGTGTCTCTAAATAGTCCTGGCTGCCCTGGAACTCACTCTGCAGAACAGGCTGGCTTCAAATGCAGAGATCCACTTGCCTCCCTTCTGAGTGCTGGAATTAAAGGCCACTTGGTGCTACTTGGTGAAAATTGCCGTTTTAAAATGAATGAATATCATTCCCAGTGACCCACCTTCACACCCTTTTACATCAGCACCAATGAGTGGGAAGTGAAGAACAGTTTCTAATTAAAAAACTTTAGTAATTAAGTGCTGAAACAGGAAAAACTGATTACATGATATGTATATATCTCCTCACATTCTTATATGAGGCCTGACCCTGTATTCTCACCCTCTATTTCATGAAAAGGCCCTTTCAGCAAGCAGTGTGCCAGCTCTCTTTAAATAATCTAGTTCATGTGGTTTATTTACTTCACTCTGGCTTCCCTTACCTGGAGCAATTCATTCTTCACTTCACATTTTGTATTTCTTAGACTTAGAAAACCTTGGCAGTGCTTTTCCTCTTTGTGCTTTCTACCTGTGCATTGTATTTATGTGGCTTTAAAAAAAAAAAAATTCTTTTCTTGTTTTGTTTTTGAGACAGGGTGGTCTCACTTTGGAGCCCTGGTTGGCCTGGAACTCATGTAGACCAGACTGGCCTTGAACTTACAGAGAACCGCCTGACTTTGCCTCCCGAGTGCTGGATTTAAAGGCATTCACCACCATGCCTCACTAAATAAAAATTCTGAACTGTTAAATTTTGAAACCTTCCTCTGTTAATCCAGTAAATGTTTTCTTCCCCCAAAAAATATGCTTTTTGTTCATACCTATCTAAGAGGATTGATAATGTATAATCATAAATAATGAGTAATCCTAAGCCCATTTATAATAATGAATGTAAAAAAAATTAAATTACCAATTAGATTAATTTCTAAGCATTTGACTAACTGAATGAAAACATTTTCAAAATAGTTATCATTTTAAATATTCTGCAAAAAAGTGAGTTCTGGGCCAACCAGAGCTACATAGTGAGACCCTGTCTCAAACAAAGAAAAAAGAAAAATTCTGCAAGGATTTCCTGTCCTTAAGATAGTTTAAGGATTTCACTTTATAGTGCAAGATGTAACTCTGTCACCTTCAAAGTCAATATGGACATCTGAACTTGAATACCCCAGCATGCTTTATAGCAGTGGTTCTCAACCTTCCTAATGCTTCGGCCCTTTAATACAGTTCCTCATGTTTTGATGAAATAATTTTATAACAATAAAATTATTTTCGTTGCTACTTCATAACTAATTTTGCTACTGTTATGAATCGTAATGTAAATATATGTGTTTTCCGATGGTCTTATGTGACCCCTGTGAAAGAGTTGTTTGACCCCACAAAAAGGTTGCAACCCACGGGTTAAGAACCACTGCTTTACCAGGCATGGTGGCACATGCCTTTCATCGCAGCACTCAGGAGACAGAGGCAGGCGGATCTCTTAAGTTCAAGGCCAACCTGGTCTACAAAGCAAGTTCCAGGACAGCCAGGACTGTTTCACAGAGAAACTCTATCTCCAAAAGCCAAAAACAACAAAACAAAACAAAAACAAAGAACCACTTTGTTAAATGCTACAATACTTATAACTATGTAAGGTGATGCATGCTTTTAATCCCAGTGCTCAAGAGGCAGAGGCCAGTGAATCTCTGTAAATTCCAAACCAGTCTGGTTTACATAGTGATTTCTAGGGCTAGCCAGGGTTACATAAGGACACCCTGTCTCAAAAAACAAAACCCAGTACTTAGAACCTTTAAATTATAGAACTTATAAATTAGTGAAAATCACAGTTTCATCATCAGTGGATAAATGGCAATTCTCTATACTTCTTTCTAGCCTTTAAAAAAAAGCTTGTTAGTGTTGGAAGTTTCCATATAGCCAACAAATTTGAGAAGTATGTCCATTTTCATACTTCAGTGAATTTGAACAAGTTCATAAAGCCCAGCCGAATGCAAAGCTTTAAAATTATTAGTATCTGAATCCATTCTGTTTAAATTATGGCACAGCAAACTCTATGCCTCACCAGTCTCATCAGTAGGATTTTGTGGTCTTCCGGTACTTGGTGTACTCTGTCCTCTGCATCTGGCTTTATCTGTGCATCCTGTGACTGTGATTGAACCCATGCCTCTGACTTAATGTCAGTTTCTACCCTGTCTTGATGTCATTAGTCCTGTTGGCATTCCAGAAATTCTCATTAATTTTGGAAGTTTTTTTAAATCTAAGAAGTATTTTATATATTTCTTCAAATGTCAACTTTAATACGTGAATTAAATCCAGTTAAGCTTAGCATACTCCCTGCAAGTTCAACTCCAATATATTTACAGAGTGAGGAGGTGACAAGATACTCCTGTGTTCCTTCCACTCAGCCCTTGGATTACTTGGAATTTCCACCTGGAAGGTTGCTTCTCCACAGTGATTTCACATTACAGGAAGGTTTTCCTTCTTTGTTTCTCAGACCTGGTCCTGTAGACGGGAAGGAGCCTGGACACAGTGATACAACACATTCTTAAAGGCCCTGCAGGACCACCATGGCTTATGATGACTCCATGAAGAAAGAAGGTATGACCCCTTACTCAGAAGCATTCCAAAGGGCATAACTTCTTCATTCCCTGCAGTCCATGGATGTAGAGACCAAGACTGGGCACCACAGCCTAGACCAAGTGATGCTCCAGAATACTGTATGAGACACAGCCTCCATCATTCCCAGACTGGGCCCATGGAAATGAAAACCAGGACAGGGGTTCCTACACCAGAGTCTGAAATAAGAGCCTTTTAGTTTATTGGGGTGATCCCCACAGCACTCTTAGTCCTTTGCCAGCTCCAGTGTGCATGAGTCTGGGACTAGGAATCTCACATTGGACTCCCACAGAACAGCACAGCACATGAATCCTTACCCTTTTCAGCCTTCCCTCGCAAGTCTGTGTCTACCTGCCAAATCACTACTAAGAAACCATATCTGAGGACGCACACTGGGCATTTGCATAGCATGGAAGCATTGTGTTTTCAGGTTTGAGTCTTGTGTTTGAAGCCAGGTCATCAGAAGTCGTCTTGGCCCTCTGGGTTTAGCCCTGCCTTTCAGTGGACACAGTGTGATGTAACTTTAACTTGGAAATGGGACTGTTACATTTAGTTGTTGCTTATGTACTTTAGTCACTTCCATTCCTAAATGAACCTGTGCTTCCCAGATTGCTTTGATGGTGATCACAGCTTTGAGGACATAGGACTTGCAGCCGGCCGAAGCCAACGAGAAAAGAAACGGTCTTACAAAGACTTCTTAAGGGAAGAGGAAGAAGTTGCTGCGCAGGTCAGGAGTTCCTCCAAGAAGAAGTCAAAGGTCAGTTCCAGATGTCTTTCAAAGCCAGGATCCCAGGAGAACAGCTCCAAGCCATTACCTCGCCATCTTATTGCTGGCCAATTCTTCTCCCTCTTTAACCACAGGACAGTGAATTGTTCTTCTTGGGGACGGACACACACAAGAAGAAGAGGAAGCACTCCCCCGATGATTACTACTATGGAGGTGAGAATGGAAATGGGCTGCAGGGGGGATATGCACATCTCTGGTTCTTGGAATCGGGGTAGGGGAAGGGATCCCAGATATTGCTGACTCAGTGGCCTATTTAACAGGACAGTGGTTCTTGTTCTGAGTGCCGATAAACCAGTGTGAAGGAGGAGAGAGGTGGAGGGCTGGTATTTTGGAGGATTCAGCATAGAAGAACAGTCTTCATTTGTGATACACAAGGTACCAGGTTCCTTCTCCCCTGAATCATCCACTTACCTATGCCATTGTTACTTAGCATCCCTTTGCCAAATGCAGTCCTTGGGCCCTCTGCATATCCGTGGAGCATTTCTCAGCCAGCATATATCCACTCACAAAACCCGTTTTCTTAGCTCTGCTCTACATGTAGCTGATGAGACTAACCTCTCACTAGAATAAGTTGTCCTCAGCACAAGAACCAATGACACTCCATCTGCAATCTAATCCCACAGCTCTATTCCAAGTATGTTCTCTCTGTCTCTGGTGAAGACTCAAGGAAGAGAATCAGCTTTAGTGGCAAGAATGGTCTCGAGAGCCAAAGGCTGAATCTACCAAGCCAAGAAGTACACGGGGGTTCTGAATGTTAGGAACCAAAGTGTCTCCCTTCAAAATTGCTCCTGTTAGCCTTTTCCTTATGCCAGTTGGGTGTTTTTTGTTGAGAGAGGACACTTGCTAGAAGTTACTTCCGGTCCTGTTGACAGTACTTCTCTTGATTATTTCTAGACATTTCGTCTTTGGAATCATCACAGAAGAAAAAGAAGAAATCCAGCCCGCAATCTGCCGACACAGCAATGGACCTGTTAAAAGCTATCACTTCCCCACTGGCAGCAGGTGCCAAGTCCTCCAGGAAGGCAGGGGAGAAGTCCTCCAGTTCTTCAAGCCATTTGGAGAGCAGAAAGGACCACCACAAGAAGAAAGGCAACGGAAGCAGCAGCGAGCTCTCCTTGGAGGACAGCAGTGCCCACAAACCCAAAAAAATGAAGCCACTCTATGTGAACACGGAGACACTGACTCTTCGTGAGCCTGATGGCTTAAAGATGAAACTTATTCTTTCACCAAAGGAGAAGGGAAGCAGCTCAGTGGACGAGGAGGCTTTTCAGTACCCTGCCCAACAAGCTTCTCTGAAAAAGTCCTCCAAGAAATTGGCTCGGGATGAGCAAGGTGCTTTACTCCTAGGACACGAGCTACAGAGCCTCCTGAAAACGGCCAGGAAGAAGCACAAGTCATCCTCAGACTCACATTCATCTCCTGGCCCAGAAGGTTGTGGGTCTGATGCCTCCCAACTTCCAGAACCCCACAGTGCTAACCTCGATATTACAGGGCTTGACCCCATTCTAGTAGAATCAGAGTCGTCCTCTGGTGGAGAACTGGAAGCCGGTGAGCTGGTGATAGATGATTCTTACCGGGAAATCAAGAAGAAGAAGAAGTCAAAGAAGAGCAAGAAGAAGAAGGACAAGGACAGACACAAGGAGAAGCGGCACTCTCGGACCAAGAGAAGCTCAGGGCTGGCCACAAGCGCTGCCCGAGAGCATGGTACTGCTCGAGAGCATTTGGTGACACCCAACCCTGCCCCCGGTATCCCCACCCTGCCACTTCCTGCTCTCCATACAGATGGACATGGAGAGAAAAAAAAGAAAAAAGAAGAGAAGGACAGAGAGAGAGAGAGGGGAGAAAAGGTAAGGAGAAAGGGTCTTCATTAAACAGATTCTTCCTGAATAGGAAGCAGCCTTGAGCCAAGCCACCATTGAGCTCATGGGATGGCTGGGCGCAAAGAGTAAAATGTTACCAGTAGCCAAATTTGTCGGGGGCAAAAGTGGCATCAGTGCAATTATTCCTGGCTTCTTGTTTTCTGTTTTTGCTATTTTGGGGAGGCTGCCACCCACATCCCAAGTAAATCACATACGGAGGCTTATTCCTATTTATAAATGCCCGGCCTTAGCTTGGCTTGTTTCTTGCCAGCTTTCCTTAACTTTAAATTAGCCCCATCTATCTTTTGCCTCTGGGCTTTTACCATTCTCTTACTTCTGTAAATCTTACTCTTACTCCATGGCTTGCTGTGTAATTAGGTGGCAGAACCCTTGGAGTCCTCCTCCTTCTCTGGCTACTTTTCTTCCTCCTAGATTTTCCTTCTATTTATTCTCTCTGCCTGCCAGCCCTGCCTACCTTTTCTCCTGTCTTGCTATTGGCCATTCAACTCTTTATTAGACCATTAGTTGTTTAGGCAGGCATAGTAACATAGCTTCACATAGTTAAACAAATGCAACATAAACAGAAGAGGACACCTTAAAATAATATTCTCCAACACTGGCTTGTCTTAATAAAGCTATTCCAGCCTGTTGATCAAACATCATCATTCTTAAAAGTCCTAGAAGCAGCCAGGCGGTGGTGGCGCACACCTTTAATCCCAGCACTCAGGAAGCAGAGCCAGGCAGATCTCTGTGAGTTCGAGGCCAGCCTGGTCTACAGAGCGAGATCCACGACAGGCACCAAAACTACACAGAGAAACCGTGTCTCAAAAAAAAAAAAAAAAAAAGTCCTAGAAGCAGCTATACCCCATTTCTTTTTCTTAGCACCCACTGTCTGCCAGGGCAGTTGAGAAATGTGAAAAGGTTTAGGTCATCTTGGAGAAGATAGTCTAAACTAGTAGTGGGTGACTGATAAAGTTAATAAAAGGAGCTCACAACTTTGTAGTAACTGGTGTGGGTTAGTGGAAAGAACATTTCTTCATGTTTGTTTTTTATGTCCATCCAATGTGTCCTTTCCCTGTTTGAGTGCTTACTGTGTTGGGGTGCAAAGATCTATACTATTTGATGTATATGTGTGTGTGCCTGAGTGTGTATATGTGCATGCAGGAGCCCTCAGAGGTCAGAAAAGGGCCTCAGTCCTCTGGAACTGAAAGGATCCATGGATGTGAAGTGCCATATGGGTACAGGGAACTGAACCTGTGTTCTCTTTTAAGAGCAGCCTGTGTTCTTATTGGCTGAGTATCACTCTAGCTTGTTCTAGATAGGAGTGAGATATCAGTCACCTCACCACTTCGGAAGATTTCCAACAGATGTATTTTGGGAACTAGTAAAGACAGTCTGACCCTGTTATCAAATTCATACCTATTTTTATTAGGAACTTATAAACTCAGGTAGGTGTGGTGGCCCATTCAGGTAACTCCAACACTCAGGAGGTTGAGGCAGGCGTGCAGAAGACCAGCTTTGGCCATGGGGGTGGGGGGTGGGGGTGGGGGGTCCCAAAGATGATATGTAGAGGGTGGAGGAAAAGGATGAGGGGAGGAGATGGTCTGAGGGTGAATTGAGATGGCTGCCAGCACTTTTATTGAAAAAGGAATACACCTTTTAAACTCGAGTTGCACACAGAATTAAATGGGAGAAAGGAGGCATGTGAGCTGGGGTGGTTTGAGAACGGGGTTGAGGAATCTGGCACTGACCTTGACTATAGGCACCAGTCGTATGTTAATGGAGGGCCACAAGTTCCTCCTGCCAGATACAAGAATTTGTTTCCCTTTTTAGAAAGCAGGAACCTTCTTCAAGCCCCTGAGGAAATGGGGACTTCCTGACTTTGGGAAAGGGACTTTCTTGGAGGATCAGACATTTCATTATAGAATATTGTTTTTGTTTTTTTTTTAATGGCTTAGTTTATCCAAATAACTAAAGCTTAAAAGTGAGCCAAGATGAAGCTAGATAAACACTACTGTGAACCTGAGTAGACCTTAGGAATTTACAAATCTTAATTATCAAATATACCTTATTTATCAAGCATATGTTACTCATCTAAATTTTTTATCAGTTTGGTGTTAACTTGTGTGGGTTTAGGCAGAGTTACCATACTATATGGTTCTACAGTGGTGGGGATTTTTTCCAAAGATTTATTTTGTTTAGAGAGGATACCATTGTATACATTTTTATCCTTCACCAAAGCCTACACAAAATTTCCCAAAGGGAAAAGCATAAGAGAACTCCCATAACACATAGTGAGAATCATTAAAAATGAAAGTAAAATGGTGCTAGAGAATTATGATCCAAAAAGTTGAAATGATGCAACTTTGTCAAGCAGCAATGGTCATCATTCGGTCCATGCCTCAGGAGGAAGAAAAGTTCAAAGCCAATGTGGGCAAGACCAATGTGGGGAAAAAAAAAATTAAAAGCTCAGAAATAAAACATGGAAGTCTTATTATGAAAATATTTCATGAATGAATTACTAGAGCCCTAAAGGGAAAGGTTATCAATTTTTCTCTCAATAATAGAAAGTACAAATGATTATGTCATCTAGAAACAGCTATGCTGTTTGTTCTCTTTGTTTATATTTCTACAAAGTGAAATTTATAAAATCTGAAAGAAAAGCTACTAAGAAAAGGATAACCAACTATATTTAGAACTTGGGTATCATGTGATGGCATAAAACTGTAACCCTAAAATCTGGGAGACTGAGACAGGGGAATTACAATTTCATGCCCAGACTGGGCTATACAATAAGACTTTTGTTTTTTGTTTTTTTAAGAAGAAGAAGAAAAAAGAAAAGCAAAGAAAACCAGCTGAGCATGGTGGCGCACATCTTTAATCCCAGCATTTAGGAGGCAGAAGCAGGTGGATCTCTGAGTTCCAGGCCAGCCTGGTCTATAGAACCAGTTCCAGGACAGCAAGGGCTACATAGAAAAATCCTGTCTCAAACAAACAAGAGAGAGACAGAGACAGAGAGACAGAGAGAGAGAAAGACAGAGAGACAGAGAGAGAGAAGAAACAAAAGGCAGATGTGGTAGCAGGCATTTGAGAAGTCAGGAGAATCAAGTTCAAGGCCAGCATATATTGCATAGCAAGACTCTGCCTCAAAATTTAAAATAAAATAAACTGAAAATAATTTGGGGATGGAAGGGCAAGTTGCAAGTTTTGTTTTGTTTTGTTTTGTTTTGTTTTTTGAGACAGGGTTTCTCTGTGTAGCTTTGCTCCTTTCCTGGGACTCACAGAGATCCGCCTGCCTCTGCCTCCCGAGTGCTGGGATTAAAGGCGTGTGCCACCACCGCCCGGCAAGTTATTTTTGTTGTAAAACGGCACATGGCAGCCTTGGCGGGTTTGAACCAACGTGTCCGAAGGTGCATGAGGGAGATGGCACGGGCCGAGGGGGAGAGGGGAGAATTGCAGACAAGTTTTATTATGAAAGGGGGAGGGGAGAGAGAGGGAAAAAGAAAGCGGAGGTGGTGCCGCCTCGTGGAAGGAGAGAAAGAAAGAGGAAGGAAGAAGAGAGATAAGGGGGAGGGGTTTTCTCTTAAAGGGGACACTGGTTGTGTCCCCATGGGATGGGCCGGAATGTTAGCATTTCCTAACAATTTTCTCCACCATATACTGTGCTTTTAAAAAGTGTGTGTGTGTAAAAGCCATACCTTGAATCCAAGAATCATTGTGAGCACAGACCTGGATATGGCAGGTTTTTGTTTGTTCATTTGCAAATTGTTTCATGAAATCAAGGTTAATGTTTGTGTGATTCTATTATCATCAGTTCTGCTGGCCTTACACTTGAGATGACTCTTCTACCCACTTTAGGAGTGTTGGGATTATAGGTGTGTACCACTGTGGCCAGATTCAGGTTGTGTCATTAACTTGAGTTGAACATTCATTTTCAAGGTTTTTTCATTCTTTCTTTCTTTTGCTCTAATAATTTATTGAGTGCACTGCAAGGTAGGTCACGGTCTACTGACCTTTTTTTTTTTTTTCTTTTTCAGATTTTCAGATAAAACTTACATAGGGCAAAATGGTCATTGGGAAAGTAAGCCATTTGATGATTTTTGACAAATGCACATACCTGTTTGACTACACCTTTAAGCTAGACATTACCCTCGTTCCTAAGAGTTCCCTCACCCAGTGCCAAACTCCTTTCCTTGGGGTTGGCATTTACATTTCCCTGTTGTCTTTGCTAAGTCTGACATCCTCCTTGGTGACTGTCTTTTGTCAGTATGTCAGGTGAGTGGGTCTGTAGATAGAATAGTACTCAAAAAAGTAGACTAGGGTCAGAACGTGGAGTCTCTTAAACGGTTTCTGAGGCACACATTGGTGTGTTCTCGGTGGCAGTTTGACAATGAAATGGCCGGGCTGTACAAGGACAGGTAAATTAGGACCAAGCAGCTAGCAGCAGGTAGAGATTGCAGGGGCAGAGGACACTGATAGAACCCTGGGAGAGAGAAGGGAAGACATTCAGGAGACCAAAGGAAAGGTGATAAGATCTTACAATGGGAAGCTGCAAAGAGTTGAAGTATAAAGGGGGAAATAGTCTTATTTTTGAATCGAATCATTTATTCAACAGATATTTATAGTGTATATATAATGTTTTTTAAACCTGACCTAGACATAAAATTCCTTGTGAAGTATAAAATGTATCTTTTCCTGAACTTTGTATAAAAAATAACTGTCGCCAGGGGAAATGGCTGGAAGAGTAAAGAAAGGCACTTGCCTCCAAGCCTAATAACCTGAGTTTGATCTCTGGGGCCCACATGGTAGGAGAGAACTGACTCCTGCAAGTTTTCCTGTGACCTCTCCACTGTGATACTCTCATGCACACACACATACATACTTGCTCAATAAATACATGTTTAAAAAGGAAAAAGAAACTCTAAAACAGGGAGGATGCTGGAGAAATGGCTCAGCTGTTTAGCACACTTGAATCTCTTGAAGAGAAC